TATTTGAATCATCCACTATTTGAATCATCCACTATTTGAGATGCGCTTCAAATACTGTAAAAAACTTTATATTCGCTTGGAATTAATTTTTGCTATTTTTGCTGAAGGAATGATTCAGTGAAAATAAAATTCAGCAAATATACCTTTCATCCTTAGTTTTACATTCAACTTGACAAAAATCTGTGAAAATAAATTCCATACAAAACGCCCAAAAAGTCTATTCAGCGAAAATTAATTCCAGCTAACATAAAGTACTTCACAGTAGAGTAAATATGGTATCAAAGAACATACCCAACATTTTAGGCAGAAGTAGATAATTATGAGCAGATTATAAGAATACTGTGTGAATATAAGCAACTGAAGAACACATACATGTCAAGCATAAATCATGTGTAACATATGCTGTATTTTACATGCACCATGTATATCACTTCAAGCATGTATCACTGCAACCAACCACAGTTGGATAATTCAGAAAACTAACCTGTAAATTTTACTGCAGTTATAGAAGAAGAATGGTCATCCAACGTCTGCATAAGTTTATAATCTTCTTTGACATTGAACACATGAATTAGTCTGTCTCTACTGGCAGAAGCTAATAGTACATACCCTAGTCAGAAACAAAATGTGGATATTAGTAACAGCATACTTAAAAGTGCTGAAGAAATTCAACAAAATTAGATAAAAACAGCACAATTATATACTGACATCAAAAAGTCATTATTAAGATATAATTAAAAAAGAATGCTTTATATTCTGCATCAAGTTAATCAATTACACATCAATTAAAAAAAAAAACTCACAATTTGCCATAAGGTATCCTTACTAACCTGTCTCTGGCTTTGAGTAAGTCAAACACAACACCTCGGCATCATGGGCCTCAATCTGACAGATCTCTTCAGAAAAATTAAAATCGTAGATATGGATATTCCCAGACCGGTCACCAGCTGCTATATGCTGACCACTGTGATCTACACATGTGCACCGCACTCCTTTCTTATCTTCAACAGTGATAGCATCAGTCTTAGCATTATCATGTCCACTTACTGTCAGTGTACAGCATAGACATGGGGGAGAAATAAAACAAAACAGCCATGCAGTGATAACATGCACTATGCCTATGCCAGCACAGGATTGGGATTTCTGGTGAGCTCTAGAAATTGCTATAGCATGTATAAAATCACAAAGAAGACATGAACACTTTAATAGCAATATACAGTACGTGATCTTCGTTCAACAAAGTACATGTACCGAGTATGTCTGTTTCACTGTAAATACTTCCTGTTTGAAAAGTATATATCCAAGCCAAATATAGTGGTCACTTTGTTTAATTTCAAATGGCAACAATTTGTACAAAGCCAAAAAAAAAACATGCTATGACCAGCTGGTTATTCTACAAAAACCAAGCATCACCTTAATGATAACTTCAAAAGTTACTTGCTGCATTTCTATTCCAGACTAAGGGGGCAGTATTTTTCCATGCCAAAGCATTGAAGTGCAGAGTACTAAGGATTCAGCAATTGACATATAGTTGAGTTTGTACAGTGAGGTGTTACAGTGGATGCTAAGATATACTGATCATAAAAACACCTCTATCTCCCTAGGAATTTTCCTTGCAGCATTGCAATATCCCTGGGAATATTCATAACAGTGTTTTTTTGAACTTCGGCAATTTCAATCCAAACAAGATGACACTCCTGGACACAACCATTTTCACAAGGGGTGAATGGTCTTTGCCCATATTCAAATTACAACTGTGGGTTCCCGTTTACTGATATTTCTGAATCAGGTTGAAGATGGTTGGTGCTCTGTGGGTGTTTAATTTCAAGGGTGATGATGATCAGTTTATATCAGTACCCACTGTTAGGCTATAACAGGTGGTGAAATGTTCCTTACATCCACAAAATTTATATCACGATGGCACTTATATGAAGGATTTTACAGTAACCCAGAATGGAATTTAAAATAATCAAATGAATGAGAGAGGGTGGGGGTGGTAGGGAGTGACAGTTTATGTAACTTACATGTATCTTCCACCTCACAGAGATTAGTAAGGTCATCATTCACATAAATAATGTCAAATAATTCCTGTAAAAATATAGTAATATATAATTATTAGATTAATTACACCATAGACCATAATACAATTCAAAATCATAGTGCATTATGGGATTGTTATGGCAGCACAAGCTGACATGCTTTGCGAAGTTGTGTTCGATTTGGCCAAATCTATCCCACAATTCACTATGATTTGGAATCTATGGTGCATGGATGATGACAGTTATGATTGGATAATTCACACTGATTTACATTTTGGTGAGAACACAATGCACAATTTTAGTAAATACGTGTATTCAGTACCATTGACACCTTGTAAGACATATATAATTTGTTCACCTCATGTCACTGACCACTTTTTATATACATTCTATATTATAAAGGAACAGGAGCAAAACTGCAAAACTACAAAACTATGTTTCTTTCATTTAATAATATACAATGAATGTCTCAGAAATGTTGCTAGTACCCTGCATTATTCATAAAAGTATGAGAAATATTAATCAATATACTATAAATGCATTAATTAATTTTGCTATTTTCCTGATTTTACTGATCAGTAAAATCCGCTAAATTAAATCTACATGAACAAGTAAAATAACAATAAAACTCATAGTTTCCTTGACAAATTTGTGAAATTAAAACAGTGAATATG